CAGACAAATCACAGTCACTCCACCTCAGTTCTCCATCTGGAAACTTGGAAAAATAGTAACTTGTTTCACAGGGTGGTTGTGACAGTCAATTAGAGAATTAATAGTTAATTACCTGGGACCTCAGTCTGAAGGGGAAAGTAACTGAAAAAGTTTCACAGAGTGGAAACTTCATCTTCATGTAGTAAATACTTGCTATTATCATCCTTGGGATAGATCATCATTTGGAACCCTGGGATTCTGCTTCCAAAGGAACTGCCCATCTTTTGAGATATTTAACAGAGGCTGCCAGTACTTACAGTACATGTGACTGGGGACAGGGCCATTCCCAGGGATATTTGTACAGTGGTGACTTCAATAGATCTTAGGCACTAAATCAAAACTTTAGACATTTCTCTGGCTTTTAGTGGATGTCTGATCTAATATTGCTACTTCATCCTTGTTGTGTTGCTGTTTATTGCTGCTTCATTTTGCTCACTCTGCTATAAGTATTTTAGCCATCCCCACTGATTTGTTTTAATTGCTTTTACACTTATTGCTAGCTACCTCAGATCTTTGACTAAGGTATAACAGTTAGGAATGGATAAATAGAAACTACTCTGCAATTCTCCTGCCTCTCTTCAGCTTAGAGCAGAACTGGAGGATTGTAGGGAAGACTGGCAAATGTTCACACAAGAGTCGCAGGATCACAGCAATACTCATGGACTGTTAAGAGCTTTGTTGTTTAGTCGTTTAGTCATGTCCGACTCTTTGTGACCCCATGGACCAGAGCACGCCAGGCACGCCTGTCTTCCACTGCCTCCCGCAGTTTGGTCAAACTCATACTGGTAGCTTCGAGAACATTGTGCAACCACCTCGCCCTCTGTCGTCCCCTTCTCCTTGTGCCCTCCATCTTTCCCAACATCAGGGTCTTTTCCAGGGAGTCTTCTCTTCTCATGAGGTGGCCAAAGTCTTGGAGCCTCAGCTTCAGGATCTGTCCTTCCAGTGAGCACTCAGGGCTGATTTCCTTAAGAATGGATAGTTTTGATCTTCTTGAAGTCCATGGGAGCTAGGTCCTGGCAAAATAATGTCCTGGGCTTGCCATTTTCTCCACTGATCAAATGCTTCCACTGGACTTTCTAATAGCATGTGAGACATAAGAGCATATGAAGACCCCAGTTCAGTAGCTGGAACATGGTGGAGCAATGCCACTCACCTGACCTGTTGGCCACTTTGCTGCTGCTCACTGGGAGATTGAGGAGGCAGGGCAATGATGCAGAGCCAGTCCAGTGCACCCCTCTGACCTCATTGATGCCTCACCCCTCTCCTCTACCTCCTGATAAGCAACAGTGATGCAACCATCTGGAGATCAGTTGAGTGCTGCTGCCCCACCATGTTGTCTACTGCTGGCCTTCGTGGATCAGGCTAAGGCCCTCTCTAGTTTGGCAACCTGCATTCCTCAGGGGGCCAAACAGATGCCTGGGGGAAGTCTACCAGCAGGACACGGAGGGCTAAAATTACTAAATCTGAGAGGGATTTATCAGGCTCAGGCAATGTTACAGGCACTGATTTGTGTACTTCATTGTATTTGCAAAACATACACTGGTCATATTAAGTTCGAAGTCTTTGTTTTCCTGCCACATTTGGGAATTTGGACGGCAGACTTCACAAGCGCCAGACTATCCTGCCCTGTCACATAAACAGAGTGTCACAATCAGGCAGGGGTGCCGACTCCTGGGGGCCAAACCCTTCCCTCCCCCCCATATTTGTTTGCAGGGGGCTGGGCCCTTTGATGTTCATTGCATCAGGTTGGAGAAGCCAGGAACACGGTTGCAGCATGGCTTCAGTGGCCAGCTCCTTCTCTGCCGCGGAGGGGAAGGAGGGGGAAGCAGCAGGAAGCAACCGGAGGAGGCAGCAGGTGGAGCCAGCAGTGAAGAAGCTGCCAGCCATGGCAGTGGTGCCTCTACCACATTCCTGGCTCTTCCAGCCTGGTGTGATGTCCAAACATCGCACGAGCAACGTCAGCACTTGTGACTTCTGGATGCAATGTTGGCCCGTGTGACGTTGTCCCCCCCAGTCACATTAAGAAGGTGGTGCCTCTGCTCTCAGCTCTGCTGCTGAAAGCTGGAACCAGAATTAAGAGACTGATATTTTCACTGCCTCTAAGATAAGGGTATAATATACTTTATATGTGGGTGGGGGTGGTTTTTATTTTTTTTACTGATTGACAGTTTTTAAAATCAATGCTGTAATTTGATTCTTAGGGGTCTTATGCATTTTTTTTTAGTGGAAATGTGGGAGGAATTGATAAAAAATATATAAAGGTGGGTGTGAGTAATGTTTTCCTAGAGGTGGATAGATCAGCCTGTTTCCATTCTATGTCAGTCTTCAATCCGCTTTCAGTCTTAATTTCATCCTGTTCTGTTTTCTGCATATTTTTTTCCTAAACCACACAAACAATCCACATTTAAATTGAAGACATTTTTGTATTATAGTGCTTTAAAATATGCCTTTCCTATACATTCTGTATTCATTTCCCATGGACTCCCCACCCAGCAAAATGCTTTTCTGTGCATTTTCACTCTAAAAACACACATTTTGTATGCATTTTTCTACAGAATGTGCACTTGATGCACATTTTTGTGAACTGAAACTGAACTGCAAAATTCAGATTAAGTGCATTCCAAACTGGGTAAAAGTCTGGGAACTCCTTAAAAATACGAAAAGAAAAGAAAAATTCTCCACCATCCCTACATTTCCCCCTTCACTGGCCTGGATTTTGATGGACTAGGATAGGCTGTAGAGAGTGTAACTCACAACAGTCCCTGAAATATGTGTTTACTCTTAGTCGCTTATCGATGTGCCAGAGGATGTCACCCTCATGGTCAGAGGTAAAGGTAGAAGTGACAAGCTCCAGCAAAAGCTTCAATGGCATTTTCCCCAATACTCCCCAGCTTGTTTACTACTTGGTTGCCTTTATGGGAGATGAGACAGTGAACCACTATGATTTCTGTTGGGTGGTAGCTTTGCGTGTGAATAAATCTATTTTTTAAAAAAATAATATTTATTACTTTTCCAACAATTTAAACATTACAAAAAAAGAATAAACAATACAATACAGTACAAAAACAATACAAAACACTAATACATTAAACTAACAAACTAACAAAACAAAACAAAAACAATTTAAAACACATCAAACAATTTCAATATCTTATCTTTCATTCACTTATTTCCACAACCTCCTCACACCTCCCTTTTTGTGTTCCACTTCTGTTAATTGTTTCAGCAATTCCTTTCCATCTTCCTCTGTTTTCTATCCTATAATTATCTTAACACATTCTAACCTTATTTTTCCCTTTAATTCTCTATTAATCTATTTATACTTAGTTCCTTATAACATTTCTACTAAAGCCATATAACTTCATTCCAACATTTTTCTAGCATTCATTAATTTTACAGTATTTCTGTAAATAATCTTTAAACTTTTTCCAGTCTTCTTCCACCGTGCGTGTGAATAAAGCACTTCTCTGCAGGAGGTACCAATGATACTCCGGTCAGAAATGGTTGTCTGCGTCTTCTGAACTCTGCTCCAAATGTTTTTGGTACCATACAACAATTAGAGCATAACCGCCGGAGTGAGAGCCCTGCTGCCTTTTGTCAATGCAACATTGCTGGGAGGGGAATCAATACTGTAAGTGATGTTGTTTTTCAAGACTAGAAGGATGTCATTTGGCTGTTGTATCTAAGAGGTCAAATGACTCCATAGGGTAACAACAATAAGACAAAGAGAGAGCTTTCCCCCGCCTTTTCTTGAAAAGAATAGAAAGACCTTGCTAGGACCAGCTCTTGCATTGCAGAGACTAGATGATTCTCAGGGTCCCTTCCAAATATACAATTCTATGTTTCCTCCCTATACTCTTTAAACATATAGTACTCATGACCCCTGAAAGGTGACCCTGCAGCACACAGGAGAGGGTCAGCACCCAGAAATCTCTATATGACGCATGCGCCCCATTGCAGACTGGTTGATACAAGGAAGCACATCACCTCCACAATGGCAGGAACTGGGTGGAAGGAGTCTGTAGGCTCCTCTGCATGCATGCAGACCTGCAAGTTATAGCTTTATAGCTCTGCAAGCCATAGTTTTTCCCCAGAACATTTGGCCCTTGTGAGCCTTAGGGGTTAATGGATAGCAATATTTCAGAGCTTTCCCATCCCTGCTCCTGAAAGTATAAATAATGCATTACTTGAACCCTGCAATCTCTGTCTGTGCTGATTCTTTAATTACAGTACCATCCTCAGCACCATCCAGAGCCCGACCACTCTTTGGCAAGCGCTTTCAACGGGGCTGTCATAAAGTTCAATTTCCAAGCAAGAGAAAATGCTGGGAATCCATTTATTTTGTTCGCTGAGAAATCCCCCGGGGTTTAATTAAAGAGCGGTAATTAGATGTACTATATGTTTGTGTCTTGTGTCGTTTGTGTCTTGAATTCTGATCACAGCAATATGCCTTCGCCCGGCGTTTTTGATCTCTCCCTTCTCTGTTCTCAGCAAGATTAACCAATTTACCCAAGGAGAGAGGGGGAGGGGGAAGCCTCGTTGGAGTGCTTTAGTGAGCTTAATGTAAGATTTCCAAAGAGACGGGGGAAGGAAGGTTGCCTGGTAGTCTGAAAGGTGGGGGTGTGGGAAAAAGAAAAAGTTACAGATTCACCTCGACTCAGTAAGTCAAATCATTCCTTTTGGGTCAATTCACAGAGCGGTACAGCTCTGTCAATCCAGAAGTTACCCCCCCCCCTTTTTAAAAAAAACATGTGGACCCTGCAACAAAATGTTGCAGTGCATCCTCCCTCTTAAAAAGAACCTTCCTGTTCCGGATTGCAGCTGGCCTTCCTTTCAAGCAGGACATTCCACTTCTCACACCCAACCATGTTAGCCTTTTCCTTTCCGAATTTCACACTATATTTAATAGAATCACAAAATCATAGAATTGAAGAGTTGGAAGGGATGTAATCCAAGCCCTGCAATCCAGGAATGTGGGGATCGAACCTTCGACCTTCGCATTATCAGCACCATGCTCTAACGAACTGAGCTACATGATTTCTTGACTATTGATCATGCACAGTTTTCATCGTGGGGTGGGGGTTATATCCAACTAAGTGTGACTCAGAGTAGCCATGTCTATTCATTTTAAAGCATCTATTTGCATTAAGTCCAACGCTGGATGCAATTCATTAAGGTTTTTCCAATTCATTAAGGTTAAGTACCTGTATCTTTTGCCTTAAAGGTAAAAAATGAAACAACTGTACATGGGAAATCAACCAGGTGCAACAAGGGTAAGCAGACCTTCCCCTCATTGCTCTTCCAATCCAATTCACAGTCTCCCATTTTTCATCTTAGAAACAAAAAAAGCCCCTTGCAAGAGAGCTACATGCATTTCCTTGTAACAATTTTTTTTGGCTCTAAAGGATCAATTGATTTCCATTCTTCTTTGATAAATACACACACGCGCACACACCTTTTATGTGCTTTTTTCATTATGGCCACAGCTTGGTAAACAAGACAACTCTGTGTGCCCTGTAAGGGGCATGTTGTACCCATGCTGTACAAAATTAGCCCCAGTCCCTTTGATAGTGGTGCCTTTCCATTCTGTTTAATCATGGCCCAAAAGCAATTACATTGCAACTAGCTGTGTAACCAGCACAGTGTGTGTGTGTATATATCATCATCATCGTCGCTTTTAATTTGTATACCGTCTTTTCTAGCTTACAATACCCAAGACAGTTTACAAGCTGAGGAAACAAAGAATGTACACCTTATAACAATCTAATACAATACGAAAAAGGTTTATCAAGGGTGCAGTGAGATTAAGGGCCACTATCTGAACGATAATCTTGGTCATTTGATTGCCCTTTTTACCCACTGTTGTCTTTTTTAATTGTATATATTGCTTGTTTTATGTTGCTAGGGCCGTTGGCTAATGCAAATAAAGTTTATCTATTTGTCTACAAAAATGTGATAATAAAACACAACTTTAAAATAAGCAACCTACATCAAATAAAGTAACATTCAACAATCATTAGAATAATATAAAATAATATTAAATATCAGCATATGAAAATTACACAGAAATCTACTCTTAATAATTACAATAAATAATTTCTAAACTACAATCAATAAAACAATGGCAAGCCACAGTGCATAAAATAATACAATACAAATTGAGAAGCAGAGACTGGAGGGTGAGGCAAGGAAGGTGGAAGAAGGCCTTGCCTGATGAAGTCTCTCCCCTCACGTATATATGGCTTGCATGAGTAACACCCTTCACTCTACTCCTCTCCAAGACAGGATTGATCTGTCTATATATTTGAAAGCCCTGCTTGCCAGACTCTGTATGCCAGCCTTGTGTTGTTTTGCTAGGGCAGGAATTTTCAGCACTTGGCTGTTTTCATCCGGTGATTTCCATTTGGGCAGCAACAAAAATAAAAAGATGTCTTTGTGTACAGTCTGGTGCTGGGAGTCATCAGAGACGGACATGAGCACTAGCATGAGGTCTGGCTGCTTTGAAGTATCTCAGATATAGTGCCAAAAACCCTCTGGATCAAAAGTCTTGCACTGATGGGCAACCCTGCCATGTTTTGTTTAATGCCCACCATTTCTTTCCTCCAGTTCTAAAAAGCAATGAATATAAATATTGGACGCCACTTTCATTGTGCAAATTGAATCGAGTTTGATTTGGAAGAATAGCTTCTGAGATGATACTCAGCTTCCCAGGATCTGCAAACATTTCAGAAAATTCCACCACCTCTTCACATTCAGGGAGCTTGCTAAACTAGTTTCCAGCCTCAGGCGATGGCCTAGGCTTGAGCGCTAGGGTCCCAAGCACCGCCCAAGGACACCCAACTCTCAAAGGCAGCAAATGAATGCTTATGGTTATTGTATTTATTAGGGATGTGCACAAATACAAAATACATCACAAATCTGCAGATCAAATAAATATATCACCATAAATGGATCGCCCCTTTGAGAAGCCTTGGTGAGTTTTATCTCATTATGTTATTTTTAGACCTTTTTTGTATAAAAGCAACTAATGAATATAAATGTTTAAAGAATAATAGAATCATGGAATTGTAGAGTTGAAGGGGATCCAAAGGGTCATCTAGTCCAACCCTCCAACCCTGGCACTGCAGGAATCTCAGCTAAAGCATCCATAACAGGTAGCCATCCAACCTCTGCTTGAACACCTCCAAGGAAGGAGAGCCCACCACCTCCTGGGGGAGACCATTCCACTGTCAAATGGTGTTACTGTTAGTCAGGAAGGAACCCCCTTTCTTGTAATTTGAATACATTGGTTCTGGTCCTACCATCCAGTACTAATGCCAAAACAGATTAGAAGGGGCCTTCCTTGCCACTTAAGGAACGGGCATTGGTATTCTCTCACAGAGTGTCTTATTAACCTTACCTCTCTCACCCTGACCTAACCACTGTGATCCACGCGATGGTCACCTCCAGACTTGATTATTGTAACTCACTCTATGTGGGGCTGCCCTTGAGACTGACCCAGAAATTCCAACGGGTGCAGAATGCCGTGGCGAGACTCCTTATGGGGTCCTCACCACGGGATCACATTCATCCAGTGCTTTACAAGATGCACTGGCTCCCGGTGGAGTTCAGGATCAGGTTTAAGGTGCTGGTTTTAACCTTTAAAGCCCTATACAGCCTAGGACCCTTGTACCTATGGGACCACCTCTCCCACGGAGACCTTACGGTCTTCAAACAAAAACTTCTTGGAGGTCCTGGGCCACAGGGAGGTTAGGCTGACCTCAACCAGAGCCAGGGCTTTTTCGGCTGTGGCCCCAATCTGGTGGAACGCTCTGTCACAAGAGACTAGGGCCCTGTGAAACTTGACATCTTTCTGCAGGGCCTGCAAGACAGAGCTGTTCCACCAAGCCTTTGGCCAAGGCACAGTCTGACCCCCTCCTTTGGTGATCTTCATAGAACTCTAGCCCAATGGTTGCCATTAATTTGATTTTGAATTGATTTTAGAATGATTTTATTTTAGAATGCTGTGTTACTTTTATTGTTGTTAGCCGCTCGGAGCCCGGCTTTGGCTGGGGAGGGCGGGATATAAATTAAAAAATATATATTATTATTAACCTGCAGGCACTCCCTCCTTTACCCTGCTCCCTACTAACATCTGCCGCGGATCTGCCCAGGTCCATGAATTAAGTTTTTGTGACGGCTCTAATTGCTAGAACGCGATCATGTGTTTACTCAGCAGCATTGCAAATGTGGCAAGAATAGCACTCCTTTCCAGGAGCATATGTTGCAATTATTGATATTTACTCTTAGGTGGGTGAAGGTGGGGAGGGGAGTAGTCCGTTTTTGTTTCATTTTGGGTTTTTCCTTTACTTCATTGTCCGCATAGAAAATGTCTCTGTGATACTTGCAAACAGCACCAGATTAGGCTGACATGGCTGGTTGCCGACTCCTGTGTGCATCATGTTTACCAATAACGATAAGCAAGTCAAATGCTCCTGGTCTCCCTGATTTGTAAACATCTGGACCAAGGGCACAGATACAGCTCCCGATTAGTCATGCAGCAGAGTGCAGCAAAACGAGAAAGCATCGCGAGCCTCTCTGACAAGAACAACAAGGCACTAATAAATTAGCTGAGTCGTGTCTGAATTCTAATTGTTTCAGCGGAGGAGTTCCTGAAGTTTTCAGATCTTGTTTATACTCAAGCAATGCAGACTGCTCTTCTTACAGCTCCCTGCAAATTAAACTACTCTCTGCCTGACCTTGTCAGACAGTAGAGGTCTGCCTTTCATTGTCTTCTGAGACTGTTCAGTTTTAATTTGCCCCACAGACTACAATGGTGCAGCCTCTAAACCAGAGGGATAAGATCCAGCCAAAGTTAACCACTTATAAGTCCAATTTGAATCAATGAGTGAAATCCAGCAGGGGCTGTCCACCAGTAAAACAGACAAATGTTCGCAGAAAAGATTTCCCATTTTTCTTAATAGTCTTTGTATGCTCCCAAAATCTTCTCCAGAGGGTTGAGGGACCCTGCAGAACAGACTGGGGGTGGTGGTGAGAAGCTGCAGGGGAGGGGAAGGGTCTTGCTCGTGAGCCAAACTCCACTTGCATGATGTTGGTTCTCACCAGATAGCTAGATCACCTCCAGAATGACTTTGCACAAACATTTTGGATCTTATTCCTTCCTGTATCACTCCCATCACACAGACATAAACCTGGTAAGAATGGTTAACATCTGCTTCATGTAATCTATGTCTATAGATTAGTGATGTGGTGTAACATGTCCTCCAATTTCTTGAAAGTTCTCACCCCTTCTATTTCCCTGCCTCATTTGCAGAGTGCTTTAGCATTTTACTGGGTGGAGAATTGAGCTCACCATTTCCCCACATTTACAAGAGAGCCCAACTGTCAGGGGTTCAGGGACAGAGGCACAGGGTAGGCAGGAGATGGAGAGCGATGGGGATGAATCCCAGGACAGCGAGGAAGAGGATGACAATGACTCAAGAGATTCCATGAGTCTTTCCAGCGAATCAGAGGATTCCCAGAAGGGGGCGCCGGTGGTCAAGCCCAGGGGAGCCCCAGGGGGGACGTGTCAGGAGCAGGGGGCCAGCGGGGCATCCCAAAGTGGCAGCTGGGTGTCAGGACCAGCCTCCCCGCCAGAGTGCAGCGAAGGGGGTGGAGGTTTCAGTGTATCAGGGGAAGCGGCTCCGGCAGCAGAGAAAGGAGGGAGGTCGGAGCAAGCCACCCTCCCGGAAGGGGAGGGGAGCAGTGAAGGGAGTAATGTAGCTGTTGAAAGGAAGGTTAGAGGCTGGGAGCGTGCGCCAAGTTCAAATGTAGAGGTGCGCGGAAGTACAGGGAGCCCAGAGGAGGGGCCAGGTCCCAAAGCCCGCAGGAGGGGGCAAGAGCAGTCTGATTCCGCGTCAGAGGAATCCAGGAGGGGCGAAACCCCAGCGGGCAGAAGGACCCTGCGGAAAAGGAAAGAGAGAAAGAGGTGGAGCAGCGCAAGCCTCTTAAACTGGTGCAGGGGAGGGACGGATTCAGAGGGGACTTCAGCGGTCTAAGC